TCAGGCCCTCGGCAAAGCACGCGTTTCCAGTAGTGCCTGTTAAAATAAACAAAACCATTTCATATTCTACGGAAGAGAGAATTTGTGCCTAAAGGAAAAAACGGGAAAGGATTTTCAAACGGCACCCAGTTAAGCATGAAAACGGTACCATACTCTCTCCTGGTTGGGCTCTGGGAAGAAGCCTTTCATACAACTATTAGCCATGGTCCCACACCACTGTAAACAGTGATAGAATATTAGAAACATCCAGCTATGTAAATCAAAATTATTCAAAAAATCCAGAACTGTATTACCACGTAGCATATTTCTTACAAAAAAGATTTTTCATCGGAAAGAGGTCTACGAAGACTTTTGGGAAAACGTCAACGTTTGCTGGCTTATTTGGCAAAGAAAAATAGAGTACGTTATAAGAAATTAATCAGTCAGTTGGATATTCGGGAGAAGTAATTTAATCGTTCGAATTTTTTTTCTTCACGAAAAAAGGAGTTTATAACAAATATATGTATGTATAGAATCATAATGCACATTGTGATTTGTAGGCTAACAAAAGCTACAAAATTGATTAGTAATGAACACACAAATTTCTGATATTAGCCCAAGATATGAAAGTAAGCTAACCACAGAAATCCTGAAATATTACTGAAATAGCTAGGTTATTAGATCCGGTTCCTATCTAACTACAGCTCAAAATAAGATAATCCTAATTCCCACCAACACTAACGGCACAAAAAAAATCGATCAAACTCCTGTCTCAACTCCCAATGCCTAACCGTACAAAAAAATCGATCAAACTCCTGTCTCAACTCTCAATGCAGCATTCACCCCAGCAAGGGACAAAAAAAAAACCAATGGATTGGGGAGGTAGGAGGAAAGAGTCGGTACTTCATCTAGAACTCATTGATATTCCGGATGGGCTCATTGGCAACGCACACATTGCGGTAGACTTTGGCGAGCGTGCGGTCGAGGTGCTCTTTGAAACCGGCCGGCTGCTCCCTCAACCACAGCCGCTTCTCGTGGAGGTTGCGAGCCACCTCCTCGTTTTTGGGGACCCGCGCCTTGAGCTGCATCAGCCCCGGAGTCGTCGGGCCGCGCGCGCGTCGGATCTACTTGTTCTGGGTGAGGAGACGGTGTGTCCTAGGTGAGGACGCGGCGGAGGTTGTTCGGGTCGGCGCGTGCTTGCAGATGTTCGCGTGTGCTTCGACGGCGCGCCCGCATCTGCCTGCCGTCGCCGTCCGCTTGAGGGAGCTGCTGAAGAAGCGGAGGTTCAAGTGATTTGCGGCGAGGAAGATTTGGAGATTTTTGTTGGTGGGAATCAACGAGTGACGAGGTGGGAATTGAGGAAATGAGTTGTGACGAAAGGAAGGAATAGACGTGAGCAATTGCATGCAGGCATGCTTGGGTTGGGCGGGATGTCGCGCGTGGGGCGATCGCGCGTGCCGGTGCGTTTGAAGCCTGCGTTGAAGCCTCCTTCACCACCAAAAACAACTTTGGCCATCGGATGATGGTGAAGCTCGTTGAGAATAGATCTCAACCATTTATTTCTATAGGATGGGAGTTTTTGGGTGCACGAACTGAGCTATATACGTAGGAAAGTTCATCTCTGCGGGGGCAAATTCCTCGGTAAACTAAGCCTATTTCGGATTGGTCCGTCTGAAACTCGCTCCTATCAACTCCCACCAAAGCTGGTAAGTAGAAGGTGAGACACCATAGACGCCTCACTGTGTACTTTTATTCCCTCCAGTTCTCCTCTCTCTCCGCTTGTTGGGTCAAACAAGAAAGACCTTCTGCCACAATTAAGACCTCATGGTACGGTCAAGGAAAAAATATATGGTTTACTATGAAAAGGGTTGGCTAGCAATTTATGATAGGGCTACATCGCTCCAATGGCTCCCCTATAGTTTTCACATTATATATAGTCTAATAATTGAAAAGTCACAAGCAGAACATAATACTACCATATTTCCTATCTATTTGTTTATATACTTAAATTAAATTTAAGTAGAGTTTCTTTCTAATAATCCTTCTAGATACGACATGAAGTTTGATCTCAAGATGAATTGAAACGCATGTTGTGATCATAAAATAGAAATCACTAATCCTCTATCATCTAATCATGGAAAAGAAGTTCGATTATTGCAAGATGAATTAAAACTTACGTCATGATCGTTAAGTAAATCATCAGGTTATAAGTCCATATCTTCAACGTGAAGGAGGATGGTCTTGGGCTAAAAAAATGAGGAGGATGGTGTGCGGGCCCCGAGTTGTCCACAATGTCCTTGTCGTGACGCATCACTCCCCACTTGTGACCCTATGCTAAGAGTGACCGAGACGGCTTCACGGTAATAGAGAAAACAGGCCCTCCGAAAAAACTTAGTGCCTGACGCCCTGCTCTGCCCGCCTCCTAGGCTCTTGGTGCCTAATAGATTCTGGGGTATACTCTTAGCATCAGTCGGGATTGGAGTCCGACCCGAGCCAAGGTTGGGATGCGCGTGGTGGCGCTTGCTCGGTAGTTATCCCGCGGGGTCAGGAGCTACTTTAGCCCGGTTGAGCCCCCGAGCCCCCGGGCGCGAGTGACTCGAACAGGGACTTGCCTCTTAGGTTGTTTCCCAGACGCCAAGGCGTTTCCCGATAGTGGGCCTTCGGAAGCCCACCAAGACATTCACTAATGGCCCGGAGTGTACGCATGAGTATACACGATGGGTGTAGCCTCCCGAGTCTCTGGCTAATTAGGGGAATCGGTCAGGGGTTAATCGCACTGTCACGGCACTAATCCGTGGGTTTAATCGATCCCTTTATTTGATATTCAACTAGTAGCTAAGGGCATCCAGGGTGTATGAAATAAGGGGGTAATAAGGTGCCTGCGGTCGATCTTATAGACTACATGAGGTGACCTTAAGGAGACTTTAAGTGCAGAAAACCTGATGACCGGCCTTAAGCTAAAAGCCTGTTTGACAACTTGTTTTTGCAGTCGTTGGTGCTGCTGCTGCAACTGCTGCCTCTCATGGATCACCGTGTTGACAGCATCAGCTTTAAACAAGCTGCCGAACAGATGTACTCACGGGAACGGGAGAGATTTTTTGTTTTTAGCGTGAGGCCCATCTCATGGCCGCTTCGGCCTTTGCACATGCAGTAGATCTTAGGTAACATATGCTCCACCTTAAAAGCCAGTGGAGGCCTCAGACACTTCGGATGCTCGGAGTGTGAGAATTTCATAGGCCTTAAGGATGAGCGTTCACACTAGTAGGGTAAATTAAAAGCTTGATATAGATCCGTTAATTGAAAACAAACGTTACATGACACATTAGGAGATATCTATGACCCACGCTGAATGATGTATGCATGCAAATTAGATCTAATGAATAAATATATCTTCCCTAATATTTTGCCTCTTTTTTCTATTTCTCAAAATAAATATATTTGTGATAATATCTTTCTAAATCAACAGTCCACGGTTACTTGGGAGTTCCGTAGCAAAGCCTAAAACAACGATATTCACATACTTGCTTCTGGATTATTGGTCAAATACTCTTCCTTTTGATGAAGAAAAGGGGAATCATTTGAACTTGTTTGCTGAAAAATTAATAAAGTAAAAGAGAACATCATATAGGAAATTGCACAATTCGTCATATGCTAAAGAACTAATACAATAAATATATAGTAACTAGATAATAGCTATACCTACTAATAATTATCTCTATTGGATCCAAACATGTGCAGCTAATAAAATAGTTAATTGTTAGCTGGACTTCTAGATAATAACTATCTCACTTGGACCAAATTAGATAATATCAGCTAAAAGTTATCTTAGAGCATCTCAAGAGTCTTTCTAAAACTCACTCTCTAAGTCATCATTTGGAGAGCCGTTTGCATAAAAACGTTTTCTATATTTTTTTATTCTCCAACAGCTTTTTCTATATCTTGTGCGCACTCTAGAGAGTCAATGCCGCTATCTATATTTGGCTAGCGAGAAATCTGGAATAGAGGACGGTCATATTTAGATAACCAATTAATTAAAGAAGCTTTTGAAGAATGTTTTTCCATCAAAATCTCTATTCGTAACAATTAGAAATGATTTAGAGAGTCTTTTGGAGTTGCTCATTTTTTATTAGTTGTGCATCCAAACACCCTCCAACTAATAGGTAGCTAATAGTTATAGCTAGCTAATATTAGATATGAGCTATTAGCCAGTTAACTATTGATAGATAATCCAAACAGGGTCTTAGTACATCCAGTCTTATTCTTCTTTTTTTTTTAGATTCATCCAATCTTATTCTTGGCCAGCCGGGGCAATGGATCATAAGATTTAGAGGAGGATTTGGACGACTAATATAATCAACTATAGGAGACAAATGTGAATTATTATAATATAATAATGTGCCAAATGAAATCACCTTTGGAAATAAATAAATAAAAACTGGAGATACAGTTTGTTTCCTGTTATCCAAATAACTCAGAATTTTCCGTGAGGTAATCATGGTTAGCTACCATCAGACTATATAGGACTTAATTCATAATTTCCATTCATGTGTTTCAAAATTCCGTAGGTTTTCAGTTTTCACTTGTCCTTTCTGTGTTTCTTATTCCTCTATTTTACAGTCCTTTGTTCAAACATGCTCTGAAGTACGTATGGAATAATGGAACGCTAAAATCAAACTGAGAACCCTTGGTTGTTGGATACACTGTCATGTCATTCTCTGTCTGTTCTTCAGTTCGGCCAAGGCCGGCTTATCGATAGGACACGAGGGGATGTTTCTCGCAACAGGCAACATTGCTTGGGACTTGGGAGGTCATCCAAACTGCCCCTGGATTGATGTTCATTCCTTCTCTCAGTTCTCTGAGCACAAAATGTTCATGAATTGATGTTAAGAATTTAGGATCAATGGATCATTGTGTACTTGTTTTGCCCAGAAGTCTATTTCATTACCAAGTTCTTATCATTATCATTAGTAAATAGGCATGGATCGATTTATCGATCAACGATTCAAATCACAGAGAGGCTCTTAATAGTCTAAGCCGGTCTTGGTTATTGATTCGCTCGCGAGCTCCCGCACCAGCTCCTCCAGCTCCCGCCACGAGTCGCCGCCTTCCCGCACCGCCGCGGCTGCCTCCGCACCGATCTCCTTCGCCCTCGCCACCACGTCATGCTTCCCGCCGATGGCCGTGTGCAGCACCCGCGCGACCTCGTCCGCGGCCGGCGCGGCCTTGAGCCCGCCCCAGCTCACGGGCACGGCGGCGCCCAGCTCGTCCACGAGCAGCCGGGCGTTCACGAACTGATCGGCCGTCATCGGCCACGTGAGCATCGCCACCCCTGCCGCTGCGGCCTCCAGCACCGAGTTCCACCCACAGTGCGTCACGAACCAGCCCACCGCCCGGTGCCGCAGCGCAGCCACCTGCGGCGCCCAGCCGCGGATCACCTTGCCCCTCCCGCCCGCGGCCGCGACGCGCTCCTCGAACCCCTCTGGGATCGGCGCCGTTTTCCCGGCCGCCCAAACGAACGCCAGCCCGGTGCGCTCCAGCGCGGAGGCCAGCGCCGCCGCATGGGGCGGCTGCAGCACCGCCATGCTCCCGAAGCTGATGTACAGTACGGAGCCGTCGTCCGGGAACCTGTCGAGCCAGGCGCACAGATCGACACCGGACACGGCCGTCTCCCCGCCGCGGTCGCCCGTGGCGTCGGGCGGCGCCACCGGCCCGATAGCGTGCACGCGCCTGAGGCCCAGATCCGCGAGCGGCGCGCGGAGGTAACGCTCCTCGAGCCGCCGGAACGTGTTGGACACGAACGCCGACCCCTCCAGGTTCCAGAGGAAGTTGCGCCGCACCGCCTCCGAGATCTCGTCGCCCTCCTTGTACGTCCGGTACAGCAACGACAGCTGCCGCCACGGGTACGCCGGGCTGCCAGGGAGATCCGGGAAGCTGATATGGCTCTCTTCGTCGCTCTCGTCCTCGCGCCTCGGCGCCCGGCGAAATAACGAGTGGAGCACGGCGGAACCGTACACACCGGACGGAGAGAACACGATTCCTGGGACGCCCAGCTCCGCCGCGAGTGGCTGCGCCCACCCGCAGGAGTGGTCGGCGAGTATGGCGACCACGCGGTCCGGGGTGTCGGACCGCTCGCGGGCCCATGAGCCGAGCGGGCCGCGGAGCTCGGCGAAGGCGACGATGAGCGATGCGAAGAGCGTGGGCTGCGAGTCCTTGGCGCTCTCGACTCCTGCGGGTAGGGCGGGGTGGGAGGGGAACGGGAGGACGAGCGCCTGGACGGCACCGTCGTGGTGCGCGTCCACGAGCGGCGCGAGGAGGAGGGCAGTGGCTGGCGTGGCGACGACGGTGGCGCGGAGGCCGCGGGATGCGAGGAGGCCGACCAGATCCAGGAGCGGGATCATGTGGCCCGGCGCCGGGTACGGGATCACCAGGATGAGCGGCCTCGCCGGCGCTGTGAAGCTATCGGTGGCCCTTGTCGCCGCCATGGAGAATGCGAGAGCGACGCCTGCCTGACGCGGACAGTGGACAGTAAACAGTGACTGGCGGCGCAGCGGGTGAGCGACTGGCAAAGGTGAACTCCACTTTTTTTTTTATAAAGGGCATATTTATTACTCCTAATTAACAGCAGGATGCTGCTAACACGGTGAATGAATCACCCAATACACAACGTAGGACAGCAGATTACGGGCATGTTTGACCCGAGACTGTAGGCTATTTTTTAGTTCATTTTAGTCCCTTTTAACTAAATTGGAGAGATTTTTAGTCTACAGTCCATTAATTTCTTACAAAAGCTTTTTTTAGACAAATGGACTAACTTTACAGCTCTTATCTCTTCCTCCCTTTCCTTCCTCGTCTCTGTCTAAAGAAATTAGTCTTTATTCAGCTATTTAGTCTCTTTAAATTCCTGAAACTAAACATGTTATTTAGTTTCTTTTTTAATTTTTTTTTTAGTCTTTAGTCTCCAGCCCGTGAAACCCAACAGGACCTACGTGACGAGGGTTGGTACATGTGACCTGAAAAGGCATCGGAGCTGCTACCGAACGAACTCCACTTGGGTGCGTTATTTGGATAACTATGGCTGTGCATGTTCCTTGAACTTTAGTCCCTGTTACAACGGGTGTTTAACACATGTATGGAGTACTAAATATAAACTAATTATGAAACTAAATGTACATAATACTAATTTGCGAGATAAAATTTTTAAGCCTAATTAGTCTATGATTTAACAATGTTGTGCTACAGTAAATATATGATAATGACAGATTAATTAGGTTTAATAAATTCATCTTGTGGATTACTGATGACTTCTATAATTTATTTTATTATTACTATCCGAACACTCGATGTGATCATGTGATACCCCATGTGACACCCCTAAACTTTAGCCTCTGAATTTAAACATCCCTATGACGCTCGACAAATAAAAATGTTCTCTTTATTTTGCGGGTAAAAGAAAAATGTTCTGTTTGTTAATGATTTGAATATTTGATGTATTTTTTTTAATCCGGAAAAGAAATCAATCAATGAATTGATGTGTAGTAGGACTGTAGGAGTAACTAAGTGTTTCCTAACAAAGGTGGTGTTTAACGCAGAGCTAAAGTTTAGAGGTGTCACATCAGATATTAGATGGAGGTGTCAGATAGGAGTGTTTAGAGAGTAATTATAAAACAAATTACATAAGTCATCGGTAATCCGCGAGACAAATTTATTAAGCATAATTAATCTGTCATTAGTACATGTTTACTGCAGCATCACATTATCAAATTATGGACTAATTAGACTTAAAAAATTCGTCTCCCTAAATAATCACAGTCTATGTATTTAGTTATTTTTTAATCTATATTTAATACCGTGGTCATGGTTTCAAATATATACGATAGGAACTGGACTCTAGGTGGGAACTCAGGAAGGCCGAAGCCAAGCACAAGTGACATGTACTACTGAAATTTTCTGTATTCTACTCGGGTCGACCGGACTCTTCCACCTACCGCTCGCCCCCAACGTCACCCCCGCGGGCGCCGGCGCGGTCACCGCTCTCACCATCACTACACTACCAGTCCATCATGGCAGCGACGATCTCCGACAGCCCCACGGCCCCGGCGCCGCACGTCCTGGTCGTGCCGTACCCGGCGCAGGGACACACGATCCCGCTGCTCGACCTCGCTGGCCTCCTAGCGTCGCTCGGCGGCCTCCGCCTCACCGTCGTCACCACGGCCGCTAGTGCCCATCTCCTCCACCCGCTCCTGGCTGCGCACCGCGACACCGTTCGCGAGCTCGTCCTCCCGTTCCCCTCTCACCCGGCCTTTTGCCCTTTGCCGTTCTGTCATTCTTTCTTTTTCACGTGATCATGAGAATGGGAGGGAATGATTTTTTCATGATTCTACCTGTTATAATTTGGTATAATATTTCATTTGAGTTGTGCTTGTTTTTATGTGTTGTCTATTTATTTCCTTTACAGCTACAATTCGAGGTGTTTCAGAGATATTCTTCCACACCCTGGCCCTTTTTACCATTCCGCCCTTATAAAATGTGCGGGGTTGCATTCCGGGGCAATTCAACAAGGAAAATATCTTCAAGAACTAATTTTGGGGTTGCCTTACAGCCTAAAAGTAGTGCCTTTTTTACTCCTGGGCTCTTTGGCAACCGTAGTTCTGTATGTTTCAGAGCCACAGACAGCTATGAAATTGCTTTAAAGGCTAATAATATTGGTAATTCATGACCATTGTCAACTACATACAGTAAAAAGCTAAGGTTTCTTATTAAAAATAAGACTTCATTCAGTAATCTAAATATGAGAAGGGAAGACCGAAGTGTTGCACATAGTTTATTTCATAGATCTGAGAAACGCCAAAGCACATTAGCTACGTGTAGCACCATTGGTGACGAGGCTTCAGCATCTACTAGTAACAGCGCCAAGAGTGTTACTGATGCTAAGACTGACACTGCCAAGAGGAAGAGTTCAAGAGGAAGCAAAAAGGAAGCTGATGGAGATATGAAAGAAAAGGAAGTACATACCAAGAAAAAGATGATATCTGCTAGAACTCGTGAAGCTGCAACAAAGACGACTGAGAGTACTAGTGCGAACCAAGAAAACAAGAAGACTGATAATTGTAAATCAAAAAAGGGTACTGATAGTTCTAAAGAGAAAAAAGTGAATAATAGGTCAAAGTCAAAAGCAAAGGTTTCTGCTGCTTCTTCTGTACCTTCTGAAGCTGAGATTTGTATGAAATCCTCTATTGATGGTTCTGGTATTGAGAAAAAGCCACTGGTGCCATTGTATCCTCCCAGAGCCAAATCAGTTGTGGTTGTGGAATCAGCCACGAAAGCAAAAGTCATTCAGAATTACCTTGGGGACATGTATGAAGTGTTACCAAGCTATGGTCATGTGAGAGATTTAGCAGGTAGATCAAAATCTGTCCGCCCTGATGATGACTTCAGCATGGTCTGGGAGGTGCCTGCTGCTGCCTGGACACACCTTAAGAGCGTTAAAGTTGCACTGAAAGGGTATGTTTTTCGTAGCGTGTAGTATGGATACATTTTTTTCTGTTCACATAAAACATACATATGCTTTGATTACGCATGTTCTCCTGTATAAAACAGTTTCACATTTTTTTGTCAAAGCTTTATAAGCATTAGCTTCCCTTCTAATTACAGAGACAAAGAAACACAAAATCAAATAGACCTATCATTACAGAAGTAATTGCTGTAATGTTCGATAGGTTTGCATGGATGTTTGTCTCCATGATGTTTTATTGTATTCAACAATGGACTCCAATCCGCATAATTCTGCAAGTTAGTCAATGGTGGTAGGCTAGAAAATATGGAAAACATCAGTAGTTGGTTCATTTGGTGATATAGTTTCTAAACTTTCCCTACAGATAGTTTGAGTATTCAAGTTTCTTATTTTGTTGCAGATAATTTGAGTGTTTATGTTTCTTATTTTTATGTTCTTCTACGTAGAAGTATCACTATTGTCATTTGTGTATGCTGACACATTATTGTTTTGATCGTAGCATTACTGTCATCAGTTATTGCTGTAATATACTTGAGTATTATCTGTTGGTGAGATTGTTTTGTAACTTTGATACATGTTATACTTTAATAATGGTGTCGGTGCAGAAAGTGACCAACACGTAAATATTTGTAGTTTTGCCGTACGTTGTGATCGGATGTGACCTAGTACTCAATGACACAGGGTTTATACTGGTTCAGGCAACGTGCCCTACGTCCATGATTCCTGCAAGACACCGGAAAGATATCCTGAAGATACTACGAGATCTGTTAGGATACGTATGATCCTATGATTCCTGTAATCTGTTATTACTTTCCGATTATCTCCTAGATCTAACCGACTTGTAACCCTGCCTCCCGGACTATATAAGGCGGGCAGGGACCCCCTCCAAACTCACACAATATCATACGATAGCCAATATAATCCAACATACCACAGGAGTAGGGTATTACGTCATACTGACGGTCTGAACCTGTCTAACTCGTGTGTCTCTGTTGCCTTCTTGTTCTCGATTACACGCATCTCTGCCGATCAATCTATCTTCGTGGGATACCTCTCGAAGGACTGCCGATGATATTCTGTCGACACTAACTCTACTCTTGTGCACTTCGGAACGCTGCTCAGACAGTAGAGCACCGCAAAAGGATAACTCTACTGACGTGACTATGGTTCTACAATTTAAGAACCTGCTCAATTCGGTATGGACTACAAAGAATAGATGGGGCTGTCACCTCCCACTGCAACCATACAACTAGAGCATAGGGTGTACTCATAGGCAGAGCATCGTATAAGCACCATGCTTACACGTGGCTTGGCTACTTAGCCCAACCATGGTAAACTAGCAGACTCAGTGTTGATGGTAGTTAACAACCATTATAAACCATCAATTAAACATGTATAAGGGTATAAATGTAATCACCAATAAAGGTTTAGGAGTTTAAACTAATGAATTCCATGAGCTTTGGTGATTTCATGACTGCAGGAGGATTTATCCAGAAAACAGCTTTCGGGACTACTGTCATACACTCTAAACAAGCAAACCGACGACAACAAGTGATTTTCCCCGCGACACCAACGAAAGTCGACCCAAGACAGAGCCTAAGCCTCGCCACCAGAAGGAGGAGCCCACCTGGCACCATAGTGGGCTGGCTAGCCCACTAGGGAGGCCGCCCGGCCCATGAGGGTGGCCTATCACCCTCCGTTGCCGCGTACTCCTTCCTACAATCTACACCGTTGATTTTAATGCGACTTTAGGTCGGTTCATCCAACGGTTGTCGAGAGAGTTAGACACGGATCGATGACATGGCAATTCCGTGTCCCTACTCCTCCTAGAGTCCTTGCCCCTTACTCCATCTCAATTACTTGGCCGCTACTCTACCTCTGGCCTATATATTGAAGCCCCTACCCCCTCCCTCATCAGATCCTGAAACTCTAATTCATATTCTCCTCATGAGGATCAAAGCTAGCTATCAAGAGAAGATTAGTCCTCTATATGATTTAGTCTTATAATTAGAAATGGTGAGATAGAGAGTGAGGGAAGAGTTTGGAGGAGATGCCAGCCTATCGGTGCTCTCTCTACGGCTTATACCTTGGCGGATTCAAGTTCTAATTGAGCTTGCTTATGAGATTTCTCTGGTAATCAACTTCTGATTGAAATAAGTGTCTTGTTTATATTGTTCTTCAGGTTCATGACTCTTTTGAGTGCTTTATTCCTGCACTAGAGGGAGTAGAGTATTAATCATAAGTGTAAGTGTGGTGCTTAGACTTAGGTTAATCGTGGATGCACCTTGCATTCTGGATCGGTGGTAGATCATGTGTGTGACATCAGTACTATATAGCATTGTAGTATATAACATCGTCGATCCTTTTTAGTCCACCTCCCATCTATAGGCGCACGTTGGACGCTGTTGCGAAGGAAAGCATCCTCTGCTGGTCTCTTTCCCTAGCAATGTCCCCAATTGAACAGTAGAAGACATAAGCTTACCCAAGTCAAAACTAGAGACCCTTAGTTATCCCCTCTACGCTCCTATTTATCATAACCTTGTTGCTACTCCTACTTAAATTAACCCTTAACCTAATCGTTACAACTTGTTAAGTTAGACCGTAGTTAGTCTCACACGTTTCCCTATGGATACGATACTTGGAATACTTCCGGGTGAAAGCTACAGCGGTATCCGTGCGCTTGCGGATTTATCTGTGTGCGTTAAAATATACCAACAAGCTTCCAAGCGCCGTTGCCAGAGAAATGATTGCTGAATTAACTTCGAGCCTAACTTAACATTTTTTTAGCATGGATTCCACTCCTATTTATCAATATGCTAAACCCACGAGCGCAAGACTAAAGCCACAAGAATCCTCAGAGCCTATCATAACACCTGGTTATGAGCTGTGCCCGTGTTTGATAAAATTGATTCGAGATAAATCCTTCTCGGGAGAAGGCAATGAAAACCCATACTCACACCTACGAGAGTTTGAGCAGATCTGTGCATGCTTGCATATCGCAGACATGTCTGACAAGACCTTAAGATGGAAGTTATTTCCGTTCTCTTTGACGGAAAAAGCTAAAACATGGTATAGTCAAACCGTAGGAAGTGTGCAAGGAGACTGGGAAACGTTATGGCCTAAATTTTGTTTACGTTTCTTTCCCATTTCTAAAGTGGTTAGACTTCGGAAAGAGGTTCTAAATTTTAGACAACTAGAAGAAGAATCTCTTGGCACATCGTGGGATCGTTTTAATGAACTCATCATCACTTGCCCAGCCCTTGCTATTCCAGGCCCAATGCTCCTTCAACATTTTTATATAGGTCTTAGCAGTGTTTTCCTAAATGCTAAACGGTAAACAGTCGGTCACCTACCGTTTAGCCATTATTCAGGCAAAACATCCTATTAAATGGGCTAAACGGACAATTAAACGGGGTAAACGGGTGATTAAACGGAAACGATGCACCACTGTGTAGCGTTTACACGGTGTGTAAACGGGCTAAACGACCGTTTAGGCGAACAATGGGTCTTAGCAAGGATTATGCACAAACCCTTGATGCAGCCTCTAGAGGAGCTTTCCTTTATTTGTCTGCTAGTGAAGCAAGGGCTATGCTTAATAGAATTAGTGAAAAGACTCCCTGCACTACCATTCATAATGAACTCCTCGAGAAAAAGAAGGAATCATCTCCCGAATAAGAAGAGGAAGTTTTGATAGCCAAATCACAACCACTTTAATTCCAAGATTTACCTATCAATCCTGAACCACCAATACCCCAAAATCATCCAAAGGAAGAAGGAATCCCACCTTTGGAAATCCCTGTTGAAATTAAGGATGACCTCTTTGGTGCTGATTTTGGGAGGACATTAAATTCTCACATTCACAAGACACCTTTGAGCGAATATAATTCAAATCCTCTCAAGAAGGGATCTTTTAGGAAGCGTCCTTATTCCCATATAGGACATTGGGAAGAACACAAGGGTGGCATCTCTAGTGAAACAATAGAACCATTTCTATTCTCTCCCCTTCTATGCCCACATTAGATGTCTCATCTGAACCCATCTTTTAACCCATCCTTGATCCTGATGATCCCTCTTATGTTCTTTCTCCTAAGTCTCATGATGACCCTAGAAATCCACCAAGACACCCAAAGCATTGGAGTCATGAAGACCACAAGGAAGACCAAGAAGAGCAACAACAATGGCTGGAGGATATTAAGAACTTATGTGCCATTGCCATTGAATGGATAGACAAGGCTTTAGATGAGATCAACCCGAGGGTCACCTATCCAAGGGAAATCTTGGACAACAAAACGTCCAAAGAATGTCATAGGCATGGAATGATGGAGATAATGTTTCTGCCTATAGACATTCATGAAGAAACACCCTTAGAGCTTGAAAAGGAAGATAACATCAATGAGCATGGAAGGTATTGCATGAACACCTCATCAAATCCATGCTCACATGAGAAATTTCCTGAATCAATTGGTCTCTCCAACATTGCCATACACGAGATCTTCAACCCCTTCATACTCTCTGTTCATAAAAACTTTAAAAGGGTGGTTGTAGATGCATATGTTTATAATAAATATTGTAGATCTCGTTATGTGAATCTTGAGATAGGCACACAAAGGTTAGTGTAGAGGGGAAACCACTTCACCAATTTGAAACACAATTAGAAGGTTTCCTAAGGATGAGCTCCTGTCCTAAAACAAGCACTTTCGAGAGATAATATGAGCTTTCACTTTTTGCTGTAATGCTCTTGTGAAGTGAGCATAGAAACATAATTGTGAAAATATTCCTTCGGGTATTTTTGTCACTAACCATTCCAAGTTTGAAGTAAAAAGAATGAAAGATGATGACGCAAGGTATGTCCAACCCATTATCATGCAACATTTAATCACATCCATCCAAACTTGATTTTGCATTTGCAAAATTCAAGCATGGAGGATGGACTTCTCTGAAAAATCTCTTGCCATATTGCTAAATTTATCTTGGTTGTCTCTACCTTTAAACCACGCTCAGTTTACTAAATA